GTGTGTGTGTGTGTGTGTGTGTGTGTGTGTGTGTGTGTGTGTGTGTGATGCTGTGTTTGTGTTATATTTTACCCCCAGGCTCATCTGACATGTTTCTTGCCCCCATCTGAGAATCAGCCATTTCTCCAAGGAGCCCCCAGTCTCCTTTATTGGAAACTGTGATTAGACCTGGGTTACCTCTCTTCCTTTCTACTTGATATGAATGAATCAGAGGTCTACGCACCTCGGAAATGACAGAACTTTTTTATTTAACATTATTACCTTTGAGTAGTAATAATGTCTTGCGTTGGTATAATAATTCCTTATGAGTTGACTGATTTTTACTATTAAATAAGGACTCGTTACAGCAGATCATTTGAAAATTTTTAAGCTGTGGTTTTTATCCTGTTTCTGGAATTGTGAAGTGTCCTGGGCGGCTGAGCCGCAGGGGACTATCTGGGGGGCCTCAGAAGCCACTCTACTTGATATTGGGGCCAGCGAGTCCCACACCTTGTAGCAATTGAAAGTCTTAAGTAATACTGCCTTGTTACCATCAGGGCAAAAGAAAGGGTTTGAATGCAGAATGGCTGCCTTTCAGCCCCTCCTTGCTCTTTGTACCTAGGGTTTAATCTCAGGATCCCAGGTGTGGGTTTGTTTGTTTGTTTGTTTGTTTTTCAAAACATCAGAGCAGTTTAAAAATTAACTTTGCATTTACGGCTTGAAGCAGTGAACCAAGGAATGAAAGCCTGGCACCATGTCACCCGCAGGGCTCTGCTGAGCGGCGAGTGGCCTGTTTCTCTGCAGCTGGTCTCACGGTCTCCTTCCCCTTCAGGTCTGACCGAGACAGCGTTCTTCAGCTGTGAAGCCCGCAATGACAAGGGCCTGGCCGTGTCCCAGGGCATACAGGTCAACATCAAAGGTGAGAGACAGGGCCAGTCCCTTGAGTCTGTCTGGGAGCTGGGACAGGCGGGAACCAGCTGGAGCCCGGGCTTCCCCACTGACTGCCTTTGTGATCTTGGACAAGTCATGCGACCTGCCTGGCTTGTGTGTTCCCCTCTGTAAAATGGGAATAGTTACACAACCTACTGTTCTTGAGGCTCAAATGCGCTCACACCAGCAAAAGCACTCACCACAGTGCCTGGCATATAAGTTTGGTAAACAGCCGGTTTAGCTCTGCGAAATCTGAAGAGAAAACAGGCTGCAATGTTTACCTCTGACCATCTGAGCCCCTGGGGTGGGGGCAGCTGGGGTGAAGCGAGTTCACCAGCCGCTGCTCCGCGGAGGGGGAAGGGGCAGGCCAGGGTCACTCTCCTCGGGCCCAGCTCTCCTGCCCTTCTTTCTTCTCTCCCCCCTCCTCGTCCCTTTGCTTCCTCTAAGCTGGGACATAGGTAATGGAAGGTCCCAGCTAGTGGAGACACCCCAATCCAATCAATCGCTTCTGCCTCCTTTTTTTGTGAGACCAAAGGCATTTTAACCTGGGGCTTGAAAAGAAACGAAAACCTAAAATGTGTAAAACCTAATAACAAAAACGCCAATACTGTCTTTTTATCTCCCTTCACATCCTCTGGTACCCTCTCGGGGAAGCTCAGGCAGGTTTTAGGTTTCAGCGTGTTCTTACCGAGGGGCCTTTTCTAAAAGTTCCCCAGAAGGAAAAGAGGCCCAGCACATGTCCACCCTGGAGGACTATCTGACTTCCTTCCTTCCTGCCAAAGGATGCCTTGGGAATTTAAAAAATTCACAAGTGGGCATCAATTTATAAAGACATTTTCATCGAGTATAAACATCTTAAAATTTAAAAATCCATAAAAGGTGAAGTACTTCTTTAATTTTCACTTCACACAGCTAAGATTTTTTTTTTTTTACAAAATAAATCCTGTTTCCAAAATGTATGCTCTTGGCTTTTATTTATTTAAAAATTTATGTCAGGGCAACCAAGACTCCCTTCTTCTAGTCTGTTATTAACTGTAGAGTCTGTAGCCTAATTCTGATGTGGAAAGGCCAGCATTTAAGGCAGTTCTACACCTATATTTAGGGGAATGAATCACAGAATGTTTTTCTTTCCCCCACTCACCAAGCTGCACGTCGGTTGGTAAAACTGAATCTCCCCGATGTGGCCCCCAGTGTGTGCTTAACGGGGTCCAGCCCTCCTGCCCATCCTGTCCTCGCCTTCCCCACCTCCACGCCGCCCCCAGACCTCTCACGTGTCACCTCATGTAATCCTACCACAGCCCCGTGGAGCAGCGCTGTTACTGTCCCCCTTCATAGGAGAGGGAGCTGAGATTAGAGAGGGTTCAGCTGTGCCCTGGGCCACACAGCCAGCCAAGTGGCGATCAGATGCCCAGTCCCTGCTGGTGCTCACACTGGTCTGCTTGCTGCCCCCCCAACCAGCCTCCCGTGTCCTGTTGAGCGACACGAGCTCAGGGGTCAGGGAGACCCGAGTTCAAGTTTCCGTCCACTACCCTGTGACCTTTGGCAGGTTTTAACTTCTCCGATGCTCAGTTTCCTCATCTGTAATGGGGATGGTAAGACCCTCTAATAGGCTTCTAATAATAATAAATGTGGTGGAGGCCATAATGTGGGGCACATAGGAAGCACACCACATCAGTCTCCATGTTTTATTATTAAGTGTGGTTATTACTGTTAAGAGTTAAATAGCACAAGAAAATAAGACCCCCAAACTTGAGATTCTTCTTAGATTCTCATTGAAACGCCTGTCCACAGCTCATCTGTCACTGAGGACGTAGCACACTCAATAGGCTCTTTTGCTTGAACTGCCTCTCACCGGCTTCCTTGGCCTGGAAATCTCCACCCCCTACACACTCTTGCGCGCGCACACACACACACACACACACCCATGCTCTGTGGCGCCCCTCTCTTCTCCACACTGGGCACTCTTATCCTCTGCTCACATGGGTCTCCCCAACTCCGGCAAGAGCTCCTCTAGCCCGGGTCTGTGTCTCTTCCTCATTTAGTCCCAGCACGGTGTCTGCACACAGTAGGACCGTGGACACGAGCTCAGTAAAGGAGCTGGGCTTCTCTACATCCTTTTGCAGCTAAAAGCGCTCCCTTCATCAGTGGGCAGGGAAGCCTGCCTGTGTCGCCTTTCTGTGCCCAAGCAGAGCCACCCTGTCACTTGAAGGCCTGTCTGTAGGCTAACACAGCCAGCCTCTTTCAAACTTGTGTTTGATTTTTCAAATCTTAAGAAATGGAAACAGGCTTGGTATTAATGTGTCTGTCGGGCCGCTTGGCCTCCTGTGGTTTATAATTGCACTGTGTGTGTGTCTTTGTTTTCTGTAGCCCTTCCCTCCCCACCAGCGGAAGTCCGCATCCAGAACAGGAGCGCACACAGCCTCAAGATCTCCTGGGTCCCCGGCTTCGATGGGTACTCCCCGTTCAGCAGCTGCAGCATTCAGGTAAACAAACCTCCAGGGTTCAGAGGGAAGCCACTTGGTGCCCTGTGGTCTCCTGCTTGGAAGAATGAAAACATGCATTATCTTCGAAATAGCCTGCACCCTCACCCGCCACCCCCAGCCTCGCTTAGGTCTTGCCCAGCCTTATTTGTAAACCACCCAAGTGCTGGTAAGTGTCAGGTCCCTGTTGTGTCTACAAAGTCCTCACCAGGGATATTTTTTTAACAGCTTTTTCTGGAGATACAGTTCACATACCATAATACTCACCCATCTGAGGTGTGCAATTCAGTGGCTTTTAGTGTACTCACAGAGTTCGGCAGCCATCACCGCTGCCTAATTGTGTCTGTGTTCATAAGAGACACTGGGACCACCCTAGCCAGTTTGCCTCAGTGGTTAGAGCGTTGGCCCGCAGACTGAAGGGTCCTGGGTTCGATTCTGGCCAAGGGCACGAACCTCCGTTGCAGGCTCCATCCCCGGCCCCAGTCAGGGCTCCTGCGGGAGGCAACCAGCTGATGTGTTTCTCTCACATCGATGTTTCTGTCTCCTTCCCTCTCTTTCTCTCCCTTCCACTCTCTCTGAAAAGCAATGGAAGCGATACCCTCTGGTCAGGATTTTTAAAAAAGGAAGAAAAAAGATTCTGGAGCTTTAGTTTCTTATGTTGGCTTCTGGTTTCAGAATCAGGGTGATACTGGCCTCGTCGAATGAGTTGGGAGGTGTTCTGCTTTTTCTGTTTCTTGGAAGAATTTTGGAAAGACTTCTGTTCATTTTTTAAATATTTAGTGGAAATCACCAGAGAAGCCATTCGATCCTGAGTTTTCTTGGGGGAGGGGGGTTGTTGGTTACTTAATCTTTTTTTTCTATTTCTTCTTGAGTCACTTTTGGTAGCTTGTATGCTTCCAGGAATTTGTCCATTTCCTCTGGGTTATCTAATTTGTTGGTATACAATTATTCATAATATTCTATTACAATCTTTTTTTATTGTTGAGGCCAGTAGTAATGGCCCCTCTTTCATTCCAGATTTTAGTAATTTGAGTCTTCCCTCTTTTTTTCTTGGTCATTCTAGCTGATGATTTGTCAATTTTATTGTCTTTGTGAAGAACCAACTTTTGCCTTTGAGTTTTCCTGCTCTCTACTTCACTCATTTCTCCCTAATCTTGACTTCCTTTCTTCTGTTCGCTTTGGCTTAGTTTGCTCTTTGTTGTGGTACTGGTTTCATAAAGTGGAAGGTTAGGTGATTGATTTTAAATTTCTTCTTTTTTTATTATGGGCATATATACTATTCATTTCCCTCTAAGCCCTGCCTTAGCTGCATCCCCTAAGTTTTGGTATATTTCTGGTGTTTTTCCCAGTTCATACCAAATTTTTTGTCGTTTTCCTTGTGATTCCTTCCTTTCCTATTGGTTATTTAGGAATGTGTTGTTTAACTTTCACAGGGTTGTGAATATCTCAAGCATTCTTTCTCTGTTGATTTCTGATGTTCTTCCCTTGTGTTTGAAGGATACACTAGTGTGATTTTCATACTTTTAAATTTATCAAGGCTTGTTTATGGCCAAGTATCACTTCTGCCCTGGAGCACACTCTATGTGCACTTGAGGGGAGGTGTATTCAGCTGGGGCTGAGTGGAGTGTTCTGCATCTGTCAGTTTGAGTTAGTTTATAATTTTGTTCAGTTCTCCTGTTTCCTTGTTTTTTTGCCTAGTGGTTCTATCGATTATGGAAAGTGGGAATTGAGGTCTCGACTGTTATTTTTGAAATGTCTAGTTCTCCCTTCAGTTATATCAGTTCTGCTTTGTGTATTTCAGGGCTCTGTTGTTGGGAACTACCACAGTCTGTTTCCCACTGTAGGGCCATGACTGTTCCTATATAGGGACATAGCTGAAGCGTGGATAGCCCTTTTAAAAACTGTTGTCCAGTTCCTGAGCTACTTGTTAAGTCCAAGAGAACATGAGACTCCTTCTACACAAGGATGGTTGCCTTCAGGGGGACTTTGAGGAAGAGCTGCCCTACCTGAGAGAGGGGGGTCTCAGGGTAGACAGGAAGTAGAGTGGGGTGGTTAGAAGGTAGGGAAACACCAGGTCGCCCTGAAGGTGAAAGGTGATGACACACAATCTTCACCTGCTCACTTCTCTCTCTCTCTGGCTTGGTTTTAGGTGGCCATGGCCTGAGTGAACAATCACCCTTTGAGCACCAAATTGCAGTCTGCCTCAGATCCTGTGGCACCGACATGGTTATTCTGTCTCTGCCCCACCAGCTAGCTCTGTCTCCCTTCACCCATTTTCCTTTCCATCTCTGATACGGTGACCAGATATAGCAGAAAAAGAAGAAAATTATCTTACAAGTTAAATTACACAAGTAATTTTGCAATGTACCTATACATGTAATTTTGGTAGTTGATCTGAATTTCAAATATGACTAGGTTTTTTATTTTCTCCTGCAGTCCTAACAGGATTAGTCAGGAATGATTTGAGAAGTAACAATTTATATTCTGCAGACAAGCAGTATATTTCCATTTCTAAAGGGACCAAGTCTAGTTTTGTAGCAGGTTCCCAGTCCATTGCAGTTTTAAACTCTGAGTCGGTAACATATGAATGTTCTGGCCAAGACTGAGATCCACACTGCAGCCGGACACACCCATTCATTTCCTGTGGATGTGAATTCCTTTCTGCACCCATTTTTGGGTTGCATACTCCATGTCTATTTTTAACTCCCATGTACTTCTTGCTGTCTCATTCCCTCTTTTCCCCCAGGACCCACTGAGAAGGACTATTATGGAAACCCTGGCTTCTTCCAGGAACATGCTCTCAAAGAGCGTCTTGTGCCTGGAAGTGCTCCACATGTTGCTACCAAAATGGATGGAGAGCCACAGGTTTCCTCCACCTTAGTTTCCATGATTGGTCACCAGGAAGGAGGTGTATTCTCTAATGTGAAGAAATAAAGTGATTTCTGCCAACCCCCCCCCCCC